GGTCTCGAATTGGGTCAGTGGTGCTCAAAGGATGAAGTCAGGAAGGTCTTCATCAGGTCTCTGTGACCCTCTGGCACGATCCAAGGCCCCCAGCTTGGTGATTGATTGGTATAGAGTCCAGGTGCTGGACGTTGTTCTCACATTTACTCCACTTTTTTCTATAAACAAGCTCATAATAACAAACAATATAACAATTAACTCTGGCTTAAGCATCTAATAATCATTAACTTACAATTTACTTATCAGACTTACATCTTGATCATTATAAATTGTTTCTACCCCTTAGCTAAATCTCAACCCTTCAAAAATCATGATTCAAAAAGAAACTTTGTTTTGGTGATAGACCTTTGGAAGCATCATTTATCAATTCTCTGTTGTGTCACCTTCAGGCAATGATTCATTTAAATACCACACCAGTAAATTTTCTTACAAAATCAGACATGGAAGAAAATATTACCCATTGTTTTTCATTCAGTTTTCAGCACTGAGCCGCTGTAAATCAAGAGAAACAAGAGAATTGCACCAATTGATTGCATTTTTCTCTTTCATAAGTGAGACTATCAAGCCAGGCAGATACAAATAAAGTGTACTTTTGTTGTCACTCTCAGTATACCAGAAATTGCTCATTTTTAGAAGCTATACAAAGGGCCTTCTCATTTTTCTGCTGCTTTCGTCTTTGAACATATAAAGCTACTGTGAAAGGAGCACAGAATACTCATCCAATTCTTTGTGGATGGATTCTGTTGTAGTCTGCTCAACTTTGAGAAAAGCTACCTGGAATTTCTGGGAAGTCTGAGAGAATCCTCAGTCTAAGACCCCTACACAATGCAGAGTTTTAAATTCCCTAACATGTCAGAAGCTGTGGTCCTTAATCACCTTAAGGAAAAGGCAGCTTTGTCTAGTAAAAGGGCACTTGAAATTGTGCATGAAAGGCTAAGATGGAATGAAAACCTTGCAGAAAAAAACTCTACACTTCTTAGTAAAAAGAAAAAAATCAGCTTTTTTTTTTTCAACCAGACTCAATCAATTTTATTTGATATTATCCTTTAGGTAAATTACAGAAAGCCCAGGTGTCATCATAAACACCCAGGCCTACATTTCAGTTTAAATAAATCAGTTTGCCTTGAGCCTTCCTTGTTTACAGGAATGTAGCTATTTTCATAAATGAGATTGTGGTGGATTTTAGCTGCCCATCATCTGAGTAACAAGAAATATCATTGTTTGCTGCAGGTTTCTCTCTAAATACCAGAACCTATATGCAAAGAGGAAAAGGGGGAAATATCCTAGTGTAGTTTTCTGAGAATCTTTGCATACCTACTTTAGAATGGTTTAAGTGTATTAATCATAGGCTGCCTGCTTTCTAGGATTATTAACAGAAATAAGGTGTCAGTTTTCTACTCAATACTTCACTATTTATGTATATAACTTTAACATTTTTTTCTAAAAGTCTGTATTGTAACAATTTCCAACCACTTCAAGACAATTGGAAGGCATTCCTTGGAGTCTGGCTTAGGTTTCAAAGGGAAACCAAGACCTTTTCTGCATCATTAAGAGAAAGTTCTGAGCTCCCTGCAGGCTCCACTGGGGTGGAAACCTCCTGACTAGAATGTAAAACAAAAAGGACCCACATCCTGGGTCGAAGGTAATGACATCCCAAGCTAAAAGGATGTGATGTACCCGGCTCTCCAGTGAGCTCTGGCCCAGCAGAAGGATTTTGTGGTCATTGTGCAGGTTTAATTCCTCTAGTCTCAGGTTTGTGACTCTGTATCACTCTGCTGTGGATCTGACAGACATGGGTTGGGAAGCTTGGAAAAACTGAAGTCAGAAACTGCCAAGAAACAGCATCAGTCATCAATAGTGAGACAGATGTTTTTCCTGAAAGCTGAGCAAGAAGGCTTGGGGACCCCCTACTCGATTCTCTACAGCTTCCTTCATCTTCGTAGCACATTTATTCTTTCATTGCTCTTTTTCTGGTCCATGGGATCCAGACCTGATGCTGAACCATCCCACAGTGCTATATTTCTGCCTCAAACAACAAGTTTGTATTCTTGTTGCTCAACTCAGCCATCTATTTTGCCTCTCCTGGTTCTTTCAAGGTTGTTTTGTCTCCCTGATGCTGCTCTGTCTTACCACACCTTTGAAGACACTGTCCACCTACCCAGATCACCTCTCTTCTGCTGAGCACCTCTTGTTCTTCTCCAACCAGGGTTGTCATAGGGCTGGGCTAAGTGGGAGCTAGGGAGGAGGGAGTGAAGGAGAGAAAAGAGGAAAAGGGCACACACCGTGACCAAAGGCAGGGGAAGGATCTCAAAGTGGAGCCATATGGGCAAATAATATTCCCAGGAAAACTCCCAAGTTTGCAATTTGTTAGAAAATGTGAGCTTAGGCCTTGGCTGCTTCCAGGAGTAAAATTTCCCCCAAAATTATGAATGTTATCTGCAATCTGTACATACCTCTCTGGGGCCTGTCACTTCTGCAGCCATCAGCAACTAATTAATTTGAGGGTTTTGGCCAGTTAGACAACCAAGCCACAGAGATACTTAGTAAAACTAATTCAGGGAGTGCTTGGAATGAGAACCATTTAAGACTATGAGCAAATGTCTTGGTTTGTGATGTCTGCAGAGTTAATTAGCAATGAATGGGAGCAGTTTGTGCTCCTTTTTATCCCTTGATGGCCAGCATATGACATGAGGCTGGCTATGGGTAAAGCAGCCAGGGAAGAAAAGGTCTGAGCACAGCACAGAGCTGATGCTGTGGGAGGGATCTGTCACTGGATATCACTTTGTGTTCCTCAACTGATTTCTGATAAAATTCCCATAACTTCCTAGCTGAAGTTCACATGCTACCCACAGAAAATGAGGGGAATTAACCTTTCTGGTGATAATCTGCTCTCATGGCATTCTCTAGTCAAATGTCTGCCCCTCTTGGAGTCTGGACTTGCAGCCAGGAGTGAGCCAACATTTCATTTCCTCCTCACCCCTTCATCTACAGGCTGTGACCAGGAGCAGGATGCCCCTTGGTCTATGGCAGAACTGAGAGCAACAAATGTGAACCACCAGAAAGAGGGGTGCTATAAAGCTGCTGCTGAACTGTCTTTTTCTTCATTAGTAATTCTTCTCTTTGGCATCAGCAGAAATAGCAAAATTAAAGCCCAAAGAGAGAAGCCTCCAGAAAGTTCTCTTCAATTTAAGCATAGGGCAATCAGGCAGAATTTGAAACTTTTTTTTTTCCCCTTCAGAAAGTAAAAATTAAGTCATTAAGATGACACTCTCCAGTACTTACAGTTCAAACATGCTGCTTTATCTGAACATTTAAAAGCATTGAGGTCTGTCTTGGACAAACAGTCCCCTGGGACAGTTCTGTTTAAACAAACAACTTCATCTCCAGTAGCTTTGATAAATGACTGAAAAGAGAAAAGCAGCTAGCATCTTTTGGTAAGCAAAGTTCAGGAACTATACAAAAGAAAAAGCAAAAGCTGGGGAAGAGGCCTGTGGGAAACAAGTTGGACAGATTCTGTAATCTGACCAGTTGCCAGGACCTTCTAGAGATGCTAGTGCCATTTCTGTTTGTTGTTATCTTGTAATGTATGTAAGTTTTGCTCCACAACACACAGCTGGCCAGTAGGATCCTTGCCCAGGTAAAAAATGCAGTGAGGTTCAGAGGATAAAGGTTTCTTGCTGTAATCAAAATATCTGAGCCCATTTGGTTGCCTGGACAACGAAGAAATTCTAGAAGGGAAAAATTGGTTGTTATTTAAGAGACTACACCAATCTCCCCTCTTGTGAAGGAAAGAAATTGAAGATGTACCTCCACAAAACTATTTACGTGTGTAACCTTTCACTGATGCCTGCACCTGGGTCTGCTTTTCCGTCTCCAACCAGGCTCTGGGGATTGATGGAAAAGAGCAGATCTGTTCTGCTAAGTCTGTTGTATCTTGGGTGCAAGATACACATTGCGGTGGTTGGTATTTGTGCTGGGTGCTTAGTGTTAGCTACACTGTCTGTTTGCTTGGGGCAGTGACATGCTTCCCTAATGCAGCTGCCCATGTGCATTGGGAATATTCACCTCCTTGGCCTCTCCTTGTGTGAGCTCAGCAGCATTCGCTGCATCCTGTCTTGTCCACACCTACCCTTTCTCATCCTGAGATCCTTCTGCCAAAATCTCTGATGATTGTTTTTGTTAAGGTTTCTGAGCTTGCTACTAAAGAACTTGAATTTTGTTGGCAATCCCCTGGCAAAGGGGACATAAGTGAGTTGTTGTTACTCTCTCTGCTCCAGGTCACAGTTTGCTCTGGAGTATCTCTCAGCCAGCACCTGGAAACTCACTCCTAGCCCAAAATGCTTCTGCCTTCCTGCAGTAGGGACAATCCTCCTGCTCAAAGCAGAAGTCTGGGACGGAGGAGACAGGGATGGGACCAGGCATGAAGGGAGAGAAGTTGAGAACCCCTGAGGGACCTTGTGGAAAGGCTTGTAAGCTGGGCATGGGTCAGCAGCAGCCAAATTGGGTAAGCCTTGGAACACAGGGTCCTCACAAGTCATATGCTCTGTCTGCATATGCCCTTTCTTTGCTGGTGTTGCCGAACTCCTCAGCACAGGGGATGGAGCAGGTTTGCATTTCCAGTGTACATGTCTGGGTGGTGCACACTTCTCTGGGGAGAGGCTGGAGCAGGGCATATCCCTCTGCAGCCTTTCATGCAGCCTTTCTGGCTGTGGGCTGCTCTGCTTCCCCACAGCCCTGCAAGAGGGGAGCAGGGGTGCTCTCAGGAGTGAGAGCTGTTTTTGCTGGGTGGTTGCTGTGCTTGCTAAAGAGCCTTCCTTCCCTCTGTTGCCATGCTGCCTTCCTCCTCTCCATGGAATTGTACAGCAGAGGATAATGATGTGATGGTCACCTGTGACAACAGGGTGTCTGAGGACTCCTGGTGTACCCCATGGGCTGGTGGTGGAACTCCTTACTCCAGTGTCTAAAGATGGGAAAAATGTGACTGGGTGTTTCAAGACACTATGGCCTTCCCTGAGTCAACTGCTTTTCCTCCTGCCCTAATCTGGGGATTTGTTTTGTTCCTAGCTTTAAAGGAACCCATCCAATCTGATACCATCATCATAGCCATGCTTGGGGGAGAGGCAAATTTCCATTGCAACTTCTCGCTCTCAATGGATATTTTGCAGGTCACCTGGCAGCAGAGAAATGGAACTTCCTTCCAGCTACATGGGCTGAGGCTGATAGGGTCATTTCAGAAGAAGGTGCTTTTCACTAGAGGTTCAAAGGCCTCAGCTGTCACCCTCCAAAATCTCACACTGGAGGCTGACCCTTATTACAGATGCGTTTTCAATGTGTTCTGTCATGGCTTCTTCAGCACAGAGACATACCTCAACATCCAAAGTAAGTTTTCCACTAACTCCTTCTCTCTTTCTGGCACACAGTTTGGGTCTGATGTGCTCAGGAGGTGGAGATGTCATTATACTATCCAGCACGTGGAGATTTTCCATGCAGCAGCATGTCCTTGGTGGATAGTGTCCGGATTGTCATACTGAAATTATTACCTAACCAACTGTCCTTTTAATTGGACAATATATGACAGGAATATTAACCTATTTGCCATATAAAACTTGTAGAATTGCTGTACCATGTGTGGTTTTTGTCATATTGTATACCTGAAAACTTTCAAGTAAAGATTTGCTTTTATATTCACTCTTTTTTTTTTTGAAGATCTGTTCTATTATCTAGGCAACACTTTCCTCAGGGGAAGTGAAGGCAAATAAGCCAGCAGATGCTTTTGGATAAAAACCTTGTACAGAGAGAGAAAGCCACCTAGCTTTGACTGTAAACTCACCACAACATGTAAAAAGCACCTTCTTTTTTTGCTGCCAGCAATTTCTGAGCTCACAGTGGAATTCCATTCCCTCCTGCCCACTGAGGATCTCCTCACTGCAGTGAGGAGAACTCAGCTCAGCAACAGGAAAGTGTGTTCCCAAGATCACATAGCTGGATGACAGAGACCTCAAATACAGCACGGCCAAATCACCAAAGGAACAGTAACAGTGGTAAGCACTTAACTGTCTCTGCCAACCACCTCCATGCCTTGTTCTGCCTCTTCAACCACCCACAAGAAAGGAAAATGAAGGCACTTCACCTGGAAAAAGGAAGGGAAAGTAGGCTGCAGTTGTATGGAGATGTGTAACATGTAGTGGGGAGCACTTAGGGAAGGATGTGCAATTGTGAATGGGCAGGTTGTACTTATGTAGGTCTTGCTAGACAACTTTCTGTGAGGTCAGATCTCATGCTAGATTAAGATTTCAGGATTACAAACCCCCCTGTGGTATCTGTGTGTAGTGGATTTGTGCATATATAGATGGAATAAATATGTACATTTGTGCATACACAGTATGTCTACATTTCCATGTAATGATTTATGTAGAGCAGCAGTACACACAGCTGGGGTTTACCAGCAGAGCAGGCTGCTGGCAGATAATGCTGGGGAAAAACATTTCACATAGAATATCTTGCAGGAGGTTATGTAGGCAAGATGGGACACTTGTGATAAAGTTTCTTTCAACAGAAAGAGAAGAAGAAAAAATAGATCAAGAGTAAAACTTCTGCGGTTTGATACCCCTGACACCAGGGAAGTGTGAGACATCATCAGTATTTATTTAAAAACATAAAATAATGCTTCACCTTTGGTAGAGTTATATTGTTACACTGTGCCTTTCTCTCCTTCAAGAGCACAAAATGCTGAAGGTTGCACTTTCAGTCCCAGCCCCTGAAAGAGGACAGCAGAAACATTGCCATCACTTCATGTTCTGTGTGAGCTTACTGGTTTCTTTTTGTAGATGTTCAGAAGAGTACAGTCATCATCACATCAATATTAACAGCTGTGTTGTTCTTAACCAGTCTCGATATATTGTGTCATGAGACTAAATAACAGCAAAAGGAACAGGTAAGCATAGTTTCCCTTTCCTTGCAAAGGAGGTGCCTTGCCCCTGTTCACCTTGGAATTTGCCTTTCTCTTTCTTCTTGGTATTTGTATATATCTGTTCTGGAAAACCATCCAGCTAGTAACAGCATCTTTAAAATACCACAGTTCTCTCTAAATGACCACGGGTATACTAAGCATCCTGTGACTAATTGATGGTGTGTTTTTCCCCCAGGCAGAAGACACAGTGTACCCAGAACTCCTGCAAAGGAGACAGGCTTTTACAGCAAGACCTAGGTGAGAGAGCCTCTGTGAGCCTGCACACACCAGAAGATCACTTATCATCACTTATCAAAATGAGGTAACACAAACACCCAAGGCTTCTAATGGTTATTGACATTCTCCATTAGGGGTCTCTGCTTCTCCTGCCATGTCTCTGCTGCATGGGACAGTCACACTGGGTAGATGACACTACATGTGCCCCATATGCCCCTCTGGCAACGAGCTGGAAAAACCACTTAATGTTTTGCACCTCTGCCCTAGAGGGTGCAGCAGAAAAGTTAGTCAAAGTTATTTACCTGCAAAGGCATGAAAGAGGCACTGAAAATGTCCAGGAGGGCAGATGACATGTTCCTTCTGGACAAGGCCAAGGAGCCCTGCAGAGCTTTGGTGCTGAAAAGAGCAGCCTCACACAGAAGTTTCCCCACCAGGGTCTGCCCTGCCCTCCTCCTGGTGCAGGCTCAAAGTTGCTTTGGAGGGTTGCTGGCATCCACAGACAAAAACAGTGGTCACCATTGGGAATCCTTCCTCCTGGACACTTTGCTCCGACGTTCCATGTGTTCCCTCTTTTCCCTGCAAGCTTCTGGTGCTCCTGTGCTGTAACTGGGAACCTATTGTTGACACTGTTGTTGACAAGTTCAAGTTAAAAAGTATAAGGTAAATTTATTATTAATAGAGTCAGAGGAGGGTAATGAGCAATAAAATATGTAGAAGGGATTGCAGGTGACCACAGCCCTGATAAGTCACAGCTATATCCAATAAAAATAAGTGTGATTAAAGGGTGGGTTGGTTGGTCAGGGGAGGACCTTGAGGAAGAGGAATGATCCTAAGGAGATGCTGAAGGAATGACCCAGAAGGACTGGGCAAAATGAGAGAGAGAATGAATCACTGCTGTGAGGTCAGTCTGGGTCTGCAGTTAGAGCCTCCTGTTGGAATCTGCAGTCAAAGTCTAGCTAGGTAAAGGCCTGCAGTCAGAGGCTGGGAGGGAAACCTACAGCAGGAGCTTGCTGTAACCAGTCAGTGAATAGTTGGAGTCAGATGGCTGAATTGTGAAGAGGAATAAACCAGGACCCTTTACATGATGTGATAGACAAGAAGTTTGTATCTTGGTTCATTTGCACTCTCTAATGAGAGGGCTGCTGCAACAAAATAAACTTTTAAAACATCTTTCCCCCCCAGCCCCTCCCTCTTTCCCTGACAGTGCAGGGAAACAGGACTGGGGAGTTTTGGTCAGTTCGTCACCTAAGATCTTTTTTTGTTCACTCAGGGAACTATGCCATGGGGTTCCTACCACAGCAGACAGTTCTCTGTGAACTTCTCTATCATGGTTCCAATCTCACAAGCAATCTGCCTAAACTGCTGCAACATGAGTCCCTCCCATGGGCAGTCTTCCCAAAACTGATACGGCATGGGTCAGTCGTCCATGGGGTGCAGTCCTCTAAGGACAGGCTGTTCTAATTTGGCAGCAAGGGCTCTCTCTCTCTTTATGTCTGGAAGCCAGAGCCCTCTCTCTCCATTTGGTCTCCCCCTGGATCACAGCTTTCCTTGGCATCCACCTGCTCCGGCACGAGCACTTTCCCCATGGACAGCGAGCGGATCTCTGCATCCCCTGTGGACCTCATGGATCACAGGGGGACAGTTTGTTTCACCACAGCCTGCTGAGGAATTTGGGCTCTGACACTTGGAGCACCTCCTCTCCCTCTTTATTTCCCACTGACCTTAGTGCTGCCATGATGTTTACTCTTACATGTCCTCACTTCCTCCTCTACTCTGACTAGAAGAAAAACTGCTGCTCACAGGTACCATTGTCAACAAGTTCCCCAAATTCAAAGATTCCTACAGGATCCCTCAGCACTGAGAGGTTAATCTCCTCCTCTAACTCTCCGTGCTGGAGAGTCACTCGCCATGTTTTCACTGCCGGCCATGCGGTCCCACCTCCACCACTTGGGCAGTGGCAGCCACCACGGCATTGATGCTGTTTAACGCCTCTCCTCATGCAGGGTGCTGGGAAGGAGAAGCTGCTGCTGCTGCTGCCCCTGCCCTTCTGCCTGCAGCACAGCTGGCCAGGGACAGCCAGGCAGGCAAGGCTTGCTGGGGGCTGCACCGAGATGGCAGCAGCCGTGGCAGCACATTGCCAGGATGGCCACAGTGGCAGCACCTCACCACTCCTGGAAAAAACTGCATGTGTGATGTTTTGATTTTCTTCTTAAATATGTCATCAGAGAGGAGTTACCAACCCCTCCAATTGGGCTAGCAGCATTGCAGGAGTTCAGGACCTCTGACCAACAAACCAATATGATTTTGCAGAAGCCATTTATTGTTTACTTTAAACACTTATTTATACATTCTCTAACTACTGTTCACGCAATCACACATCTTTTCATTGGTACCCCTATCCTGTCTACGCACTCTGCATGTACCCCTCGGGGCACAGGACTGGTTACAATCCAGGTGTTCAACTGCCCTCTGTTATCTGGCTCTTGTGGTCTTGTTTTCTTGCTTTTCAGCCTTTTCTTTTTTATTTTTACAACAGCTTATGTCTCAGCAACCTTGAGAAATACCAGAGGGCCTGATAAGAAACTCTACAGAGTTTCTATGGCCCAGGCAGCTGTTCAGATGTGTTACTACACAGCATGTCCATCTTCAGAGACATCAGAGATTGGCTCTGTCAGACATGGTGGAAGCTTCTAGCAGCTTCTCACAGAAGCCACTTCTGTGATCCTCCCTCACCACCAAAAACCAGGCTGTGTCACATCAACACAGAACCCTCTTGTCTACTCATCACTTCTCTCTGCCAGGTCATGTAAAGCTCTCTAGTGACTACCACACCACTCTGCTGGGTCTCTTGCAGAAGCAGACACCAGGCTCTTCTGGTGTCTTTTGTTTCACAAAAGGCTGAAGAGAAACCTGGGATTAAGAAAAGTTGGAGGCACCTGTTTTCAGAGGAAGGAGAGAACCTGAACAGCAGCTTCCGAAGTGAGTTGAAGAATGGACCTGCTGGGTTATCCATCAAGGAGCATGAAGGAGGACGGAGAGGCAACAGCAGGTGAGGGAATCCAAGTGGCACCCCAGCCCAGCAGAGGAAGGAGAGACACCAGCCATCTCCACAAGCCCAGAGCACAGTGGCCCACAGGCTGGTCAGGAGCCCACACCAAGGTGTCAGGAAGGAGCAGCTTGCCCAGCCCCTCCCAGGGCTGTCCCAGGAAATCCTAAGCCCTAGGGTCTATGTGGGAAACTCATCCAGAGGAGTTCATCACCTTTTGAACTCAGGGCATCACTGCCAAAGGGCTATGGGCACAGGATGCCATGCAAATGAAGTACATTTGGGGATTGCACCAGACTGTTATAGGACATCACCAGCAGCCTCCTTGGCTGCTTTGTCAGCCAGGCAGTTTCCAGTATTTGCTGGTATTGTCCAGGCTGATGAGCTTTGCAATGCATTAATGCCATCTTTCAAGGTAGCTGCACGCTCTCTAACAATCTGTATTATTCATCCATGTTTCACAGGGGATCCCTGGGTGGTTAACAGCCGTCTCTTTCCAAATGGCTCCATGGGCATGGACCACTCCAAAAGCAAATTTTGAGTCTGTCCATATATTCACAATCTTGTTCTGTGAGAGCTTCAGTGATCTTGTTAATGCGATCAGTTCTGCTTTCTGAGCTGATGTGTTGGCTTCTATTACCTCATGCTGAGTTACCACTGAGTTACTTGGCTTTTCAGATTCCATTTTTCACAAAGCTTCTCCAACCCACGAAGTGTTCCCAATCCATGTCTTCCAAATTCTGTATGTGTGTGTATGTGTATGTATGTATATCTCAAAATACAGTACACCTGCTCAGTGGTCTGCCAACAATCATGGGCTAATTCCTTTCATTATGGGTCAGCTGTTAAGAACAGTGCTGGATTCAGGTTTTAACTCCAGGTTAGTTACTTTTAACTCCACATCATCTTGTTCTAGCAGTACTGTCTGGTCTGTTAACATTCTGCATGGTGATGGCCAGTGTCCTTTTTTTGTTCCAACACCACTACAACTGTACAGGGCACAAAAACAGTCAACAACAGTTGTTTTTTTCCTTCCTGGATTTGTAATTAATGCCATAGTTACTGCTGTTTGTTTGCCTTGTTATACATGCTAGTAAAGAACTGTTATTCCAATTCCCATATCTTTGCCTAAGAATCCCTTCATTTCAAAATTTTAATAATTCGGGGGGGGAGGGTGTCTACATTTTTTATTCCAAGGGAGGGTCCTGCCCTCCCTACCAGACATGTGTCTTCCAAACCAAGACAGATTTTTAGTGCCCAACAGTGGGGCTCGAGGGCACTGAGATAAAAAGTGTGAAAAAGGAATAACAGTTCTTTAATAACCTAACTTTTGTGTGCTGGATATAGAAACGCTGTTAGGTAGAACCATGTGGTCCAGCTTACCCAGGTTCTGGTGGCATGTGGTCACAGCTATATTTCTCCCATTTTCTGCAACTTACCTAAACATGGGTCCTATAACTAAGGCAAGTGTGGCTATTATCCAGTTTGTTTTGTGGGTTGAGAAGGTGAGGAATTCATGGATGTTTAACTTCCTCTTAAGTTAACATCCACGCCAGCAGGCCAGCGGGCACATGGATTCAGAGTTATCGCACACTAATTCTATTGTTTTGAGGTTACTTTAATAATGGTAGCTACCGTGAGGAAATGAAAGCAGGGGAAACTTTCTCCCAACCCTTCGTGCAGTTCCTTGGGCCTACCCCACCAGTTTTTGAAGGGTTAAAATCTTCTCTAGAGGCTAATAATGTCAATACAGTGGCTGATGTTGCTGATATTTAGCATTCTATTTAGCATTCTAGCAGTCTATTTAGCATTCAGAGATTAGGGGAGACTGACTGAGATAAGCACCCTGTCACCCACCCCAGAGATTAGTGATGCTGCCCCAGAACCTGGCACAGCCCCAGAGATGGGGGGTGCTGCTCCAGAGCCTGCCCCTGCCCCACAGCCCACCTCAGAAATGAACCACCCAGAGTGGGTGGGGGTTCTGGTGAAGGAGATACGTGAGATGAGCCAGAAGATAGGGTGCATTTCCTCAGCTGCTGGGAAACCCTCCCCCTGCCTCGAAGAGGGAGAGTCTGATGGTGCAGCAGTGGAACCCATAGACGTTACAACCGTCCAGGTTCCAGCTG